AAAAAAAAAAAAAAAAAAAACTTAAACTCAGAAGATGATTTTTCTAGGTCCCGAAGCCTGTTATCTTGTTAATACCTAACTTCGTATCATTTTAAAACATGATGTACAAATCATTTTAGAAGACAATCCAAACAAAGCTGAGGAATAATTTCATTTCCTGATTGATATGTTAAAAAACATGAAAAAGAGTGACGCTACAAATATATATATATAAGAAAGTTAGATAATAGAATTCTCACTGAAAAATGTAGGATTTTGTATATACTTCTCAACAAAATGAAATTAGCAACTACATAAAATAAATATACTTCTAAAAGGTTATTATGATAAGCAGATATTTCTTATGCATCCAACATATAGAAAGCTAAAATAGCTACATCAAATACAAACACCTTATAAGTGCACAGCAGAAAGCTAAGTCTACAGTTCAGTAGTAATACTAATTTCATTGTGTTAACAAGGACTTCTTTCCTTGCAGTGGTAAAGGAAAGGAGACAAAAGAAAGAAGGGATGGAAGAGACCAATTCACACAAGTTAGGTCAACGAGAATCTCCCTCCCCATCTCACATTCTACTGTAACATTGGTTCTGGTTTTCAAGCAAGAAAGACCAATAAGTAGTGTGTAAATATTTATGTTATTTATTCGCACCTGATTCAAGAATTCATCAAGCCTTCTAGCACTTCGAATGATGCTACCCTCAAAAATATCTGTCATTTGAATCACCTCTGAAAAATTTGCTCCCTGTACGAAGAAAACACTTGCTCAGTGCAGACCCATCTTAAATTGTAGAACCAATAACATAGAAGTTCTGAACACCCAAATAATAACTGGCAAAACAAAGGGACTTGAGATCATTAGGGCACTCAGTTTTAGAACGTAATATATTGTTTCTCCTGGTGAGAGGAATCATTTAGAATAGAACACGTTGAAATAGAAATTTAATGCTACAGAAATACAATAGTGAGCAAAATAAGTCTGCCCCACATTGAATTGACACCCATCTGCCACACCGTTTTGCTTCTTGCTTCTCCAAATTACTAAGCTTCCACCAATAAAAGTACAGCAGTATGATGATGAACATCTATCATTAGTAGATCCAAAATAGTACTGGATAGCGGTTGTTCAGTTTTTTAGGTGGGGTTTCCTCTACCCCAGCCTTTAGTCTGTCTTCCTTTTTTTGATATATCCAAAGAAAGTTTCTTATCTAAAAAAAAAAAAAATAGATCCAAAATAGTACACATCCATCTTGGCTTCTAGTAAGTTTGTTTATTTCCCATAAACAGGAAAGCACAGATATGGACAAGACACGATATAAGTTTATTTGCCATAAACAAGAAAGCAAAGATATGGACCAAAGAAGATTTGGACACAGTATACATTATTGTTTAAAAATCTAGAACATAGACATAACAAGGATACATTTTTCAAAATATACATTGTTTAATATATAATTGTTTCTATACATTTTAATGATTCTAATGCTATTTCAATTCATGCTATTTTAATTTGACGGTAACATGCCTCTATCTTGAGGGGAGTGTTATAACAAGTATTGAGTAAATATGCACTCTATCTAGTGTATGGAACCATATGTGTAGCATTCTATCAGTTTCCATAACAAAAACATATGAAAATTAGTCTTTACAGGCAGTGAACAAAAAAGAACAAGAGTTACTTATATCATTGATGAATCATCTACAAAATCCAAGACCAGCGGAATTGCAAATTTTGGTTTCTCCAAATAAGATGACTAAATGCCAGTTAACTCAAGCATGTAATACTAAATGCACAAGATACATGCATGCGTTCATGTTTTCATGAAGCATTCATACGCATCAAAGCAAACAAAGCAGCCATCAGTTCCCATTATGAAACTATATCTAAAACACTAACCTTTGACCAACAGTAAATGACATCCATCAAATACGGCCTCACAGTTGACTCCACATATTCTTCCACATTTATATCCAACTTGCATTCATGTTGTATCTATATCAAAATAAAAAATAAAAAAATGTTTGGATCTGGTAAAAGAAACGGCCATAGAAAAGAATAAACAATAGACGGTTAGCAGTTAAAAACCTCAGCTATTCTTCTTGCACTATCTTGGAGTTGCTGTAATGGTCTAGCAAGCTCGGTTCTTAACTGTATCTGCTCAGATGACTTGTCTCCTGGTATAAAACAACTTGAAAGGGCTGCAATCTGGTGATGGTCTAGATCATTGAATGTGCCTGTTGAGATCTCATCAAAATATCACTTGCCTTGATATAATAAGAAAAAATTTTATTTATCTAGAAAACAAAAAACAACCATTTTCTGAAATAAGGCAAAAGTAATTAAAAGCTTTCAAGTTGGTTTGAATCGAGAAAGATAAATAATTACAAAAAATATTAAGATAAAAAGGCCCAGCTAGATATGGGAGCAATAGTATCCACAATCTAACTTCACAAATCCAATCATGCAGCCATTACTTTTAACCCAGAACTCCAAAAACATGGCCTACATGGTCATAAGCCACAAGATCTTGGGATTATCCAACAAATCATAACCAAACATCATGTGGGGATGGAATCTCCTAGAGGTAATAAACACTACAATATAACTGGTTGAGAATACCAAGGGGTCTCTCAACTAAATTATGTGTACAGCTCACATTCAAAAACCATGTGCAATACCAGCGGTACAAGTTTAAAATGCATTTTTTACATTTCTAAAGAAACAGGAGGAGAAGACATTGTGATATTTATAATATATAGCCAAATCTTACATTATTTTTGCTATAGTTTTCTTGGTTGTTACTTGGTGTCAATGCTCGCCACTATTCTATTACTACAACAATTATTCTCTCTTGTCCAATTGGAGAAGTTTCTTGTAACTCCGTTGGATCGGGATTTGCCTCTCTTTTTATAATTTTATGCTATCAATGAAATTGTTTCTTATAAAAAATATATATACATATAATATATAGCCAAATTACATTGTAAAGACAAATTGAAAGGTCAGCCTCTCAGGTTTACTTATCCCTCTAATCTTTTTAAGATACAAAACTGATAAAGATTTAAAGTGAAGATGCATCTTGACTCACCATTAAACATTAATTCAGTAACAAGGAGCTCATCTCCGGTGTCAATCAAACAGGCTGCACGCCCCTTCAACTGAACTACA